ATGGGTTGACCTCGCCGCAACCTGGTCTTGTCAGGGCGACTTTGTAGAACGCACCCTGACTGCGACCATACCAAAGGCCACAACATCTTGGTCTACATAACTTCAGTTATTCTTTTCTCTGAAAGAATGTCAGTCCAGATCTTAAGAGTATTTATAGACCGGATCATAGCTATCCGGTTAAGTGAATCAACATCGTAGGTCTCGTGTTCAAAATACTGCTACTTGAGCCAATCACCTATCTTTTATCCTAACCATGTTTTGTATCCCATAAATTCTTTGTCATCTGAGTCCGACAAGCAGCTCCGACTATCGGAAATCGAATTTTGTGTTCCATCATAATAAATTACACTACCTAATTGTCAATGAGATTAAGCAGGCTTATATCTTTTGAAGGTTAATACAAAGCCTAGCTTTTCCTGTTGCATGTGAGACACTAAACAGGTCTTTCGCAAAGAAACAACTGCCAGTATTCTCGCATATATTTTACTACTAGTGCGAACCATTGCTCCGTGGTTATAATTATCATAGTCCAGTCTGGGTTCATTTTGTTGAAATAGCGCGTCTGTTCACCTTAAGGTTACAAACGCATACTTTTATACTTTATACAAACTTGTTAGGAAACTATCATGGCCCAATTATTTGAGTTTGACTGACTAATTGCAGGAATGAATACCGATTATTAAGTCTTTTAATCTGTCTATTTTTTGTCAGGCTCCATGATGTCTACTGGTGGAATGGACAAATTAATCATCAGGGATTCCCATGGCGTATGTGCCTCAGCGGAAGTTGCGGCTCCTGACGTTTCCGATATCGGCAACGAGATTGGCCATTTTGACTCCGGAGCTCCTATTGTTCTTGAATCCACTGACGCGATTGTTTCAGCCGAGGTTCGTGTTCAACTCCAACCCGGTGAGGCCTCCGGTGTCAATCTAAACCAAATGTCTGCATCTTTAGAAGCTCCTGAAGCTGCGGCCTCCACACACTCGAGGTTTGTCACAAATTTCAGCTTTATCTAGTTAATCAACATAGCTGCTAAAGAAGGGGTTTGACCTCATTTTATTAGTCTTCACATCGATTTAAGTTTATTAAAAATCTTTTGACTAAATTAGTTTTCTTATTTAAAAATCTTGGATTTCTTTCAATTTATGAATGAAGAATTTTTTATATAAAGGTTTACGCATAATTGTATTCGTTCCCATTTTCATATTTAGTGAGTGTCGAGTCTTCGACGCGACGTACTGCCCAGCAATACATTCGACGCCGGCTCATTCTCGTTCAGACAAGAAAAGTGAGCCAACGTTTTTTTGTCAGCATTCGTGCGTATTCACTTTATTTTTCTTATATAGCTTTTTATTTTTTTCTGTTTTTTATTAATTACCTTAATTGTGAACTATGTGGTACGGCTATTTTCCAATTAATTCGCGCAGTTAGACTATCCTTTTTAGGCGTTAGATAGCTGTCATTATGAGTAGCACCAATCAAACGTTTTGAATTATTATAGGTTACTTTTTCTTTGCTTTCTGACTTTGTTCTGGTATATTCATTAGCAACAAATCCTGATTAGTATTGTCTTAAACTAAGTATTCCATTTTGTTGTCATTATCTAATAGCCGTGTTATAAAGTAGTTTAGGTCACGACTATAAAAATAAATTTTGCGTACTATTCTATTATCTATGGCAATAGGCACAACGACAACTATATTTTTAGCTACACTATCCATAACTTAGGTCGTCATGTTTTTGTGCTCTTTCGTCTTCGTACTTTGATCACTTTTTATATTATACATTGTGACTCTGGGAAAACCTAATCCTTTTTCATAGCACTTTAATTTTTATTTAATATAAATGTTCGTCAAGTAACTAATTGCATCTTTTGTCAGTTCCTGTTGGTCGTGTACAGCCTATGGTGAAAGAGGAGGCTCCTTTAATAGACACTTCGGGGTCGTCAATGGTTGCTACCTTTGGAGGCCTTATGCTCTCAGTTCCTGGGGTATCAGTGACTACTGCACCTTCCTCACCGCCAGGGTTGCATGTTTTGACCCAAGTTCCTCCACCACTTACCAGTCTTGCCAGCATGGAGTCTGACCTCACTGCCTCTGTCTCATCTGCTGGTCGTCCACTTGGCACCACTGTTCTACCAGGTCGGCCTGACGATGTGGCGGCTGCTCGGCTGTTGGCTGCTGCGGCTGCGGCTGCTGCTGCTGCTGCCGCGGCTGCTTCGGCTCCCGGATTTTCAAGAACGGCCCAACAACAGCATCACCACTCGCACAGTCACCAGCATCACCATCAGGCACAGCTTGCCGCGGCTGCTGTGGCGGCTGCCGCCGTAGGTGGTTCTACAAGACTCCCGATGGCTCAAGGCTCTGTCACGGGAGTAGAGTCTCCAGTTTTGTCTGCTGCAGCTGCTTCGCATTCGGTCGCATCTCTCTCTGAGCCTTCGCTAGCTGCTTGTCAGCGGCATCCTATTGTACCTGGTTTTCCTGTTGGGCAGCACGCTCACATTGGACATAGTCATGGCCATAGCCATTCGTCACACCCTCACCAGCTCCAACATCATCATCAGCAGCAACACCCACACAACCAACATCACCAATTGCAGTTGCAGCATCATCACCAGCAGCCAGCATCTCATGCTTCTTATTGCCAGCAACAGACCTCTTCATTCCAGTCA